TATTGCTGGAATATTGCTAAAAGCGGTGTCAAACCATATTCACTCACTCACTCTTATTTTCTCGTGATATATATAGCAGTCTAGCTGAAGGAGATCAACGTACTGATGTCGATCTCTTGTTAAGGATAAGACACTGTGTTAATCACAACCATATTCGCTATTTAGTTGGCATATATAATACTTGCTAGATGTGTCTTGATCGCCCAAGCAAACATATGTTATCATGGTTGATGAAGAGAAGGTGAATTGACATTCTTGTAACAAGGATGAATTTCGAAATATTGTTTTCGTTTTACACATAATTAGTTCCATTATTCTGCTGTGATACGTTTTCAGTGAACAACAGTTAGTCCTAAAGGATTATAAGAAATAACACTTTTTCTACATATTCATTATATCGTTGCCAGAGGATCCAGACCCTAGCGGCTACTTTCACCAAAACTACTATTTGAAGTGGAAAAACAATTCAATAACCGATATTGATTGCAGTGGCCAGAGGACCGAAACCATAGTGGCTACCCTGATCCATGCTACTTGACGAACGTCACCCAGCAACGGGAACTGTTCTCCAGTTACCTTGATAACATTATCAGTGGTTATAAGAATGAAATGATCCTGATAATGAGAGTCACCAGAAAACAAAATGTCATTAACATGTAATACATTTTCCATCACTAAGGTTTTAGTGGTATTCATATTCATTATCGTCGGCATAAAACAAATAAAACATATTTCAAGCAAAAGGGAAGCAACAAGTTCAAATTCCCACAAGTTCCACCTGACACAGCTCTTAGCGAATGAATCAGGAGTATGACGTAATCTGTTAAGTCACAAGTTGACATTAGTAGGTGTATCATTGGACCATTCGTGGTACAACGTAGTTCAAATGTTCAGAATGAGGTTGGAACTGGTATTGCCACACTGTACATGCAGGTACCAATGCCTGATATATTATTATTGAGATCTACATCGGCACATTTTAAGTGCAAAAGATAAAAAGCACTTGAATAACAAATAGATATGACCTGGTTATTTTTCCTTAATTGAATTTCTCCTGTGTCTCCTGACAACAGTGAGTGAAAGTTGATTTACGTCAGTCAACGGCATTTTCATCCTTGTCGGACTCTAAATTCTCCAAACTCTAATCGAGTTTTTTAAATTTGCTGGTTTCAGCTCATAATTTGCCAAGATGGGTGAACCAGTCCCAGAATTTATGTTGTTGATGGTGCAAGGAGGTTCCGGGTTTCCGGGTCAGATCCCGCGTTACATCGAGGTCATCAATGAACCAGATGCTCAATGGCCGATCATGAACATCACGACTGTCTCCATCTTTCACAAGACCGTTGCTGAGAAACTCCATGCAAGATTTAACATAAAAGTATCTGGACTCACCCTAACGGAACTTTTTTCGATGCAAGGGAATTTTCGTTCTGGAAAGCGGTAGCAAGCTTCATGGATGTTACTCTTGACTACTTTGACACGCTTTCCTTCCATTCATAGACAGAAGGGGAAATTATCCCACTTTTTATCAATGTGAGTGGATGAGTGAGTGAGTGAGTATGGTTTTACGCCGCTTTTAGCAATATTTCAGCAATATTACGGCGGGGGACACCGGAAATAGGCTTCATCCCTTGTACCCATGTCGGGATGCGAACCTGGGTCTTCGGCGTGACGAGCGAACGCTTTAACCACAAGGCTACCAGACCGCCCCTTTATCAATGTATGTGGCCGTGGGGGAGTGACAGGAATCAGCTCAACTGGTCCATCTGGGACAAATGACCTTTCAACAATATACCAGTCAAATGCCCACGGGTTCACCAGGTTGGACTTAGAGGAGAATACATCGACAGAACCGTCGTCTTTCTTTAAGCCAATGAACCATATCTAGGACATGATAGTTTAAACTGGTCATCACGTTTCACTCCCCCACGCATGTTGTCGACGTCTGTGAGTTTTAGTTCAATTTTACGTCAGAGAATTCCCTCGTGAGAACCACTAGCCAATATGACGGACAAGAACGAACCGCGTCACCGTCACCATCTTACTCAAGGAATGGTTGAAATTTCCTCCCGAGGCAACGTGTCGCTTTACATTTAAGACCCCTTCAGACCAACTACCAAAAATCGCTCTCAATGAAATCCACATACTACGGAGTAGACATGGTTATACCGATCAAGAATAGCTTCCCAAAAACAACTATATCTCCACTAGAAGGCGATCGCGAAATCGATAATGCAAAACATGCCTTTTTGAACCAGTCTTCCCGTCATTGAAACAAATTTAACAGCTGTTGCTATAATCTCCACATTATTGACTCTTTCGAAAAGCTGTAAGATTCCGAAAAATCTGAAGACCAGGTGGGAAGTCTGGGAGTCGGATCAAACGATTATGCCGATGGTATGTCAAAGACACACAAATAAAAATAGATCTAAAGAATGGCTCATTGTTTCATATTCATAGGAGGTACCGCAGAGGACACGAATCGATACATGTTCCAGAGGGACGAAAGGTCAATCGTATTGATAAATGTTATTTATTCAGCTACATACCGCCACCTGGTGGTAAAGCGTCCGCCCGGAGAGCGGAAGGTCCGGGGTTCGGTCCCCGGCCGCGTCATACCAAAAGACGTTAAAAGATGGTACTTGTTGTTACCCTGTCTGGCGCTCGGCATTAAGGGGCTAAAACAAGGACTGGTCGGAATCTGTAAACTTTGTCTGAGTGGGGTATCCGAGGCAGCGTATCTCAGTGGTCCAGCACAATATACTCGGCATTTGTCCGTACAATAATACAAGCAGTCACACACACACACACACACACACACACACACACACACACACACACACACACACACACACATACACTCGTCGCTATATAAGTGCAATAACCCTGGAAGCGACGTTAAACTCCATTTCACTTCACATATTCTCCTGCACAATTGTCAGATCGTTCCTAATTTGAGTTGGTGACATAAGTTCTCGTATCCTTGTTTTCAGTTGTACATGTTGACCAGATTATTTCTCTAGAATGTAACACCACAAGGCTGTATTTCAATGCAACAAAATGTATTCTGGTCCGTAAACCTTTATATAATACTTGTTTTTATCTCTCCTTTGTTTCTCATCAATTGAGTTTTCTTAGGTTAATGAATGCATCCAAATTACCGCATAACAAATAATGTTATGTTGTGATAGTGAAAAGGATACTAAGGATCTTTTAGTACAATTTACGGTTATTGACTAGATCCTGTTTATTGTAAATAGTAAAGACTGTGATAAAGTTTTGTATCGCAACATATATATGGAAAATTGGTAAAATTTCTATTTTAACTTAACCCTTCTCTCGACCGGAGACATCAAGAATGGGTTCCACAAACTGTGTAGCTGATTCCATTGTCCTCAGATGAAGCGGTGTTTGACATCCGGATTTCCCATAATTGATTTCATATAAATTGACATTCCAATCATCGTGGGTACAAAAGCAAACATAATTATCACAGCAAGGCATCTCAGGCTTTTACTTCTATAAATTCCTTTCAGGGTCTTTAGATTACTTTGAATGCGGAGATTTTCCAGGTTTCAGTACCCAGGTGAACTATTGTTTTCACCTGCATGTCGACCCGTGGGTACCTTGTTCTGTATGATTTCAGTATGCTGGTCCTAATACTATTTGCGAACACAGATAGTTTCGTTGTCTAAAGCGCCCCAATTCGATGTGAACAGTCGCGTCCCTTTGCCGAGCCAGGTTCCGCTGGGACCGACAATGACATCCCATTGAGTACGGGGTTACTTTCAAAAACATTACATTCGTTACTTACTTTTCTTTGTTTGTTTGTTGTTTAACGCCGCAGTCACTAATATTCCAGTTATGTGACGGCGGTCTGTAAATATTTGATTTTGGACCAGATAATCCATTGACTGACTTCATGACCATTGATAGACGCAATTGGGATACGATGACATGCATCAACCAAGTAAGCGAGAATGACCACCCGATCGCGTTTGTCGCCTCTTCCAACAAGCATAGTCGCCTTTCACGACAATTATGGGTTGCTGAAGACCTTTTCTAACCCGGATCTTCACGGGTTCCTTAATTATTGGTAACATGCGATCGTATTTGGTGTTTTCTTTATAATAAGTCTGATCTTCGACAGCCAATGTGACAATAATAAACGTTAACGTAGAGAGTTAATTAGAAAATCCAAACTGCCAATGAGATTACGGAAACAGAATACACCTTGAATCAAATGTTCTACAATGTTGAACTATATTACCTCCCAAAAGCACCCTTATGTTTCAGATGAAATTTTGAAATTGCTTCCAAAGATTTTTATTGTGTCTTTAGCACATGTTAATATCTCAAACACTAATAGTATACCAAAGAGTATATATTTCTAAGTTTTCTTCTTCCGAACTTTAGGAGACAGGTTTTGATAGCCGTACAACTTTTTCCCGAGGCGGAATAATGAATAATTGAATTCGTGTGGTTTAATAGCGAAATGTTGAGTATCACAGACTTTTGTGACCTGAACAAACCATCATGTGATGTGATAACAAACGAAGCTGTTCTCTGTGAAATAATACGATAGTATTACTCTTTGGCAATGTTAAACTTGCATTAAAAATAAAATTAGCTTCAGCTACATAACGATTAACATATAATAACGTAATGATTCAGGGCTGTTTAAAGCATAATAATTTGAAGATATATTGTATTTTGTATCCTGTAAAAATAACTATGTGACAGGGATATGAGGATTGTTACCACTGTGGCATTGACAATAATAGTTCGGTAAACTTGGCTCTGTGTCTCCAAAGGTTGTCTCAGCACACAAACGCGCTGCGTGTCTAGCACAGACACCTACGTCTACACTACACTGTAGCCCCACATCTACTGTTAAATTCGGTCTGTTTTCTTATCAAATATTGGTTAATAGGACGCTGTTTGTGGCGGTGTAAAGGTCAACGATAAGCAATGATTATGTTCATGCCATAAAACACTGACTTTATAGAAGAACACATATTCTTTTGGGGAGAAAGCATCGACAATGAAATGCACACTCATCTCTTTCATTTTGAGCCTGTCAATAGCTAGAGTATACAGTAACACGACTGTGACTATCTATCCTCAGTGGCTAGCAAAGGGGGGTAATGTTCGCTATGAGCGTGACAGATGGAGCAAGCACAATGGTCTGGAACAGGAATACCTGATACCAAGTTGTCGGAGCATTCGGACTGACAGTGGGCGCTGGATGAACAGAGATCTAAATGATCGTCTGTTCCAAGATGTGAGACTTTCTTCCTCGTGCTGTAATCTACTTCGTTCTCTTATGTAAATTTATACAAGAACATATTGTTTTCCAAATATATTCTGAATATTGAATTCGTTCATACTGAAATTGATGTAAAAAATATTGTTTCTAGAGGCCATTCTACCAGAAATTTATGAATAGAAACCTCACTCACTTGGATCAACATAGGCTCACAAATTAAGGCTGGTCTCAATAGGCATGTGTCCATCTCCAGGTTAGGATTCGACATATTCATTTTATTCATATTTTTATTTGTGTACAGCTCCGAATTTATGTGGTTGAAGCCCATGTTTTACAAATCTGTTCACACACAATACTGAGACGCGTTCCACTGAAACGTAATTTAGAATTGTAAGGTTGTAGAAGGCCATAACGCTATTCTTGATTTTATAGTGGCAAGACTACTTTGGAACTATCGTTGTCTTTTTTCGCTTACTTAGATCAATTAATTCTTGATGGGTCATATGAGCCATATGTTGTACTTATTCATTATATAGTGGCCAGAGGACCCAAACCGTAGCGGCTACCCTGATCCCAGCTACCTTAAGAACGTCACCAAGCAACAAGAACTGTTCTCAGACTACCTTGCCAATATTAACAGTGGTTATAAGAATGAAATGATCATGGTGGCGAAAGGTAAGATTGTACAGAAACCAATCCCTCATTTATAAGTAATGTAACTGAAATCGCCAAGCGTATGAAGGTATTCATATTTGCATGTTAGTCACTAAATCATATGAGTTCAATATCCACTGACAACATGTGGGAACGTGGGATCAGAATAAGTCCCAGGCAAGCTAAGCTTGTTGATGTGTTAGAAGCGACCAAATGGATCTAGTGGTCAGGCTCGGTTACCTGGTGCGGATCAATCTCTGGATTGTTTGGCCTAGGGTTGATTATTTACAGGACGGCTCCACACAGCTGCAACACTGCTGAGAACAAAAGTCAAAAGTCACACCTGTCAAAAGTGAGCGTCATGATCAGGCTCACAAAAGAGTTTGCTTTAGAAACATTGTTTCAATGGTTCAGCCATTAGAGATAGAAAATAATCTGTAAGACCTGTAGTGTTTGTGGATATCAAGGGAAGAAGGTGCCTATGATTAAAACACGATTATAGTGTAGCCTTGGGATGAGATGCACTTATAACTCTTTTGGATATCTCTTAATTATGCTGGCTTTTCACAAAACATATGTGTGTGAATACATCAATCTATCGATAGCCTACATATCGATGCATGTAACAATGATTGCCGATAACCCATTCGAACTGTATCCGTTTGATATCGGAAGATTATCAGATGTTTTTGTCACTTACTGGTACAAATACCAAGCATAACTTATCAAACATGATGAAATCTATTTCGGAACACATACACTTAAGTAAAAGATACACTAACCACTGTGTCACAAACAATAGTAGTTTAACATGTTGCGCAAAACCCGGCTGGTCTTCAGCTAAAAAACGGCGGTATTCAGACGTATACTCAACAACAAAAGTTCCTGTGACACCAATATTTTACAAGTAAAGTTTGGCTTTCACTATTGTAGTACATATATGGAATCAAGTCACAAATACGCAACTGCTACAGAAAAGCATGCATTCCATGCAAAAGTTGACTTTTATGCTAGCCCCATGGATTTCACTACCCAAGAATGGGTATAAAAACATGTGCGTTAACGGGATTCCATAGGCATTGTTTAGCATCTTGCTGACAACAACCACTCAGAAAAACAACACAATTACGCAATTATTCAACATTACAAAATGCCACGCCTGTCCGAAAATGAGCGTCTGCGAGCCATTGGTATGCTTGAAGCAGGAGCGAGTCAACGTGATGTTGCAAGATTTAACGTCCACAGAAACACCATTTGGTGTTTATGGGAACGTTAGCAACAGACGAATGCAGTCAGAGACCATCCTCGGAGTGGCAGGCCACGCGTAACCAATAATCGACAAGACAACTGGATTCGAACAACACACCTACGTAATCGATTCCAGCCAGCAACAGTGACTGCAAGAAGCATCCCTGGCCTTTGACGAATATCTTCACAAACCGTACGTCGTCGCCTCAGATGTGCAGGGATTATCGCCAGAAGACCCGCCAGACGTCGTTAAGCACGTCTATAGTGGTGCAGACAGCGGATTCGAGTGTACCAACGTCGAGGTGAACGTTACGTCAATCATTGTGTCATGGAAGAAGATCGTTCGGGACGGCATCGTTATGGTATTGGTTGAGATTATAGCAAAACAGGACCTTTTTGATAGTGGTAGAGGGAAATCTCAATGGACAGCGCTACCGCGACGAGATCATCGACCCTGTTGTTCTACCGTTTTTGCGTCGTCATGGCACAGGCATTACTTTTCAACATGACAACGCCCGGCCTCGTATTGCTCGACTTGTTCAGGATTCTCTTCAACAAAACAACGTGAATATCATCCCCTGGCCGGCTCGCTCCCCTGATCTCTCACCAATCGAGAACATGTGGGATGAGATGGATCGGCGCCTTCGACGTCAACCGCGTGTTCCACAGACACTCCAGGAGCTTCGAAACATGCTCCAGCAGATATAGACAGATATCCCACAGGACTTTGTGCGACGCCTGGTCCATTCCATGAGACGAAGATGTGTTGCTTGCATCGCAAACCAGAGGTGGATACACACGCTATTGATTTGTAAATTGACATTTTGGCATGTTCATATTTTTTATGAAATCAGTAGTCAGTATGGTAAATTAAACTATTTGAACACTTACAGGAGTTTTTGTATCTGTTGCAAACCGAAATTGTTTCAGATTTGGTAAAAAAAATAACTTTGCATTAAATCTTGTTCAATGTCACAGGAACTTTTGTTGTTCAGTATATTTCAGGGTGGTTCCGTCGGCAATGATGTGCCAGCAGGCTCATTTCCTAAAGTAAATCGCCAGGTTATTGTTGAACATAATTACAAAGCGGGATTATCTTCTAGACGTAATTTGTAAATAGCACAGTCACAATGGACAGCTACTGTTGCACCCAAGTCAATTCAACCAGGTTCAAGGTGACGAGATAGTCATTCTGAATATGTATTACTTTTTGAAAGTAATTGCAAACCAAATGGTTCATATGTACAACATAAAAATAACTAAAATGTTAATTAATAAGGCTTGTTTAGAAAGAAACTAATTCAGCATTTTGTGGCACTACTTCTACAACATGTCACTCATACGGTGGGAGATGTCATGCTGATTTCCAAGAAATGATTTAAGTCCAAGCAGTGGAACATATGCAACAGGTTGCGATGAACTTAACTATGTATCAATGAATTGTTATTTGATCACTTCTTTTATAACAAGCTGTGTATTTGTAAACATTGTTTAAATCAGTCAATAATACAAGTAGTTAATCTTGAACTTGAATATAATTTGTTATTTCCTTCACTACCTGTGACGCCTTGTCGGAATTTTCTAAGATAGCTGGCATTTTCATTATAATAATATCATTCCAAATGAGTATCGTGTTTACAGCGTTCACCTCGTCATGGTAGAATGTAGTGAGTGAGTATGGATTTACAATATCTACATGTATATATGATACTACATGTATAGCGGAAATTATAGTACATTTTGCAAGTGTACTCTAAAGTAGCAAAGCAGCTGGAATTGGTATGCTATTAAATAATCTATACTTTCAACAGTTGATGTTGATGTATATGTCACACTATTCACACGCTTTTTTCAAACCTATTTATAAAAATAAAGGAAATTCTAAGGGCCCGGAAATTATAGGCGAATCACACTGCTAAGGTGCATTTCGAAACTTTTCATGTCTATTTTAGCGCACAACGTACAGCATTTATCAAAACAAACAATATCATATCAGTACAAATTGCAAACGTGTTTCTCTTCACATTTTCTCTGGAGACAGCTTGAATTAAAAGTTTCCCCAAAATGAAAGTGTATTTATCGGCTTAACAAATATATTTAACTCGGTTTGGCGAATAGGACTTAAAACTATTGAAATAAATACTGTCTGAAAAACGTTTCAACGTTATATTAATATATATCAAAACATAAAATGTCATGTGTTAATTTCAACAGCTTTCAAACAGTTTTTCCAGACAAAGAGGGCATTAGACAAAATCTACGTACACTTCTGTTTTCCATGTTCCTGAAGGAGGAGGAGCACTTCGAATTGCAAAGTGTTCAGCTTAAAGTACTTTATTGCTTGATTGCATTGCATGTGTTTTTACTTATTTGTATTGTTATATGCGATTGAAACTGTTCTTGTATCAACAAAAGCCAAAGAACTGCAGCTAATGCTAGATTTATTTCAATTGTTATAGTTATGGGTATCAATAAGTGAGTGGGTGAGTTTGGTTTAACGCCGCGTTGAACGGTATGCCAGTTATATCAGGGCGTGTCAGTTTAATGTTGGAGGAAACCCCTAAATGATGAAGGTCTCGGACGTTTACCACTAAGTGAAACCAATCAGCACGGGTACGGTGCTGACAAACCTAGATACATAAAGAGGCGAACCCACAATCATAGGTTTCTTGCATGCATAAGTGACACAACACTGCACAGCGAATTGGGCCACCCGTGCCCCCCTTAATATCAATGTATCTGAAACCAAACTTCTGATATTTGGTGGCAACAAAAAAAGATTAAAAACTATATAAATATGTTCAAGATCAACCCTTAAAATGTTGACAGGCATATACACACCTTAAAGCTTGGCGTTACATTTCAAAGGTAAAACGGGTTTACTACTTCTAAACATAGCTCATGTGAAATAAAGTAGTATTGCAGACCTATTCTGAAAATCCACATTAAGCCCAGAATGACATGTCATGCAATTCTAAAAAAACAAATAGATGAATGTGACTTTCATATTCTATGTGTCTTCAGGTGTTTTCTGGCCGAAATGGATGAATCAGTCCCAACATGAAGGCCAGTTCCCCAACAATATCGATGCTGCTTCAGAGTTCATGTTGTTGATGATGCAAGGAGTTTACGACTACACCCAAGGTCAGATCCCACCATACTTCGAGGTCATCAATGAACCAGATTCTCAATGGCAGATCATGAATTTCACGACTGTCTCCATTTTCCACAAGACAGTTGCTGAGAAACTCCATGCCAGATTTAACATCAAAGTATCTGGCCCTACACTCGATGGATATACAGAGATGTCAGACATAAACAATTTTTCGTACTGGAAACAGGTAGCAAGCTTCATGGATGTCACTTTAGACTATTTAGACACGTTTTCCTTTCATTCATACAACACACTTGTTGTTTCGGGGAAATCTCACCGATTTACTGGTATGAATGAAGCGCGACTGGTAGCATTTGTCGACCTTGTTGAAAACTACGCCAATCAAAGGAAAGGAAAGATTATCCCTCTTGTTATCAGTGAATATGGCCGTGGACCCGTGGAGGGAATTGACAAATATGCTCCATCTGGTATAGTGGACTTTTCAACAATATACCAAGCAAATGCCCATAGATTCACCCAACTAAGTCTTAGGGAATACGTTGAGAGAGGAGTTGTGTTTCTTCTATCCAATGAACAATCCCCAGGAGATGCTAGTCTCAACTGGTCACTTTTTAATCGTCAAGGGAAACCAACGCGTATTGTGGACGCTTTTGAGTTTTGGTACAATTTCACGACAGAGTACTCCTTCATCAGAACCACCAGCCAATGTGACGGGCAGGAACGCACAGTGTCACCGTTAGCAATGTCCAGTCCCTTCAATAATGAAACCGTCATTCTCCTTCATAGCTATTCTCAAAAGTCCCAGACCATCAAGCTAACGTTCCAAGACGACTGGATAACACCGACCACGGGAGAAGCTACTTGCATCACAATCAAGGACAACTGGAATCCAATCATCACATTCAACGAACCCTTCGACATTCGGAATACTCAGGGAATGGTTGAACTTCCTCCCGAGGCAACGTGTCGCTTTACATTCAAGACCCCTTCAGACCAACTGCCAAAAATCACTCTCAATGAAACCACATACTACGGAGCTGATATGGTTATACCGATCAAGAATAACATTCCCGAAACAACCATATCTCTACCAAATGGTGAATTCCAAAATGCAAAATTGCGAGTTTCTACCAGTCTTCCCGTCAATGAAACAAACAACTTAACAGCTGTTACCTTCAATCTCCAGACTCTTGACTCTTTCTATAAATTGTATGATTCCGAAAAGTCTGACAAGAAGACCTGGTGGGAAGTTTGGGAGTTTGATGTCCCTACCTCTTTGTTAACGACCACTAACACAGTCCGTGTTTACTTTTCCAACCAGGCTCTGGAGGGATATGTGTCTTCAGTGGCGCTTGTAACAGCGCAACTCATCACATCAAACGGAAAATATTAAATATCATGATGAAATGACAGCAACTGGTAGTTTTAGTTTTAATACCGAAATAATTCTGTAGAGTTATTTACATGACTGTACATATTGTAAATGCCGTGGTTTAATCAAACGTAAAACAATAAGGTTTCAGCGTTTTAAATTGACCTGTTGTAGTTAAATATTTTGTGTCTTGAAACTGTGTATAACAATTGATAACAACGCGACCTGCTCTAGATTGGTGACTTATTTTGCTCTCTGTCAAATCACAGTGGTCTAGATCCGTGTTGACTTATCTGCTGTGACCACAATTCAGTACATGGTGACACAGGCTAAACTTCAATCTAACAGCTAAACGATGATAAGAAGTTCAAGTGCGGGACTGATGAATGCAAAAGTTTAAAACTATTTCTTCTAAAAAAATTGAGTATGTGAATTGGGTTCAGTGCCACTTTGCCAAGTATTTCTGTTATAAAACTGCGTGTCAGCTTGATGTGGGAGGAAAGCCCGAAGTGATGCAGGTCTTTGGAAGTTAGACGATTACCACTTTGGTGAAGCCCACAGGCACGGTTACGATACTGACAAATCTAGAAACAGGGTGGACAGGGATTCGAACACAATCATAGGTTTTCTCACACGCCTAGGAGACACAACCCTGCACAGCGAATAAGATGACTGTAGCAGGTGCCCCAATAATGACACGACGTCAGCAAGATCTTGAAACTGTCGGAAACAGGCCACTCTGTCCTACATTGAAAATGCACAAAAATGGCTGCAAGGGTATTCTCAGAATGTCGATCGAAAGAAATTAATTCCAGTTCAACAAAACGACAAACAGACCCAAACTATGCTTTTATACTTTCTATTGTACACGGTATCTATAATGGCGAATTCGATCCCTCGATCATGACAAACGTCCAAAGAGCCTTATTCCACAAATAGGTGACTCTGGCACGTAGATCATACTGTGTGAGTTTCTCTTTCATTCAAGTGATGTCTAGTTTGTTGTCTAGGTAATGTTTAGGGCTTGTCAAGAACAATGACAATATCGTTACAAAGACTCTCACACACACAGTATAAAACAAAGCGTTCACACAATGCCATGGTAGTCGTTCTGATTTGAATGGATTTATAGCTTAAATGTAATGTACCTTGATAACAATACTGATCAGGGAAATACGGTATACACTCTTGTCAGTAGGTCATGTGTGGCTTTTAGATAGATATGTACTTCTTTCAACTTCAGATTCATTGTATTACTTTCAATGCTGATGAATTGTCCGAGGCCATTTAAATGCAATGAAGGTAATAGGTAGGGTAAGATTTATTTTTATCAGCGCAATTGAGGATCGGGTCACGGTTATGGTTTAATGATATTAGTCCAATAGACACTTGTCCGCCTCCATGGTCTCCTGGCAGAGCGTCCGCTCAGAGTGCGGAAGGTCCGTGGTTCGATCCCCGGCCGCGTCATACCAAATGACGTTAACAGATGGTACTTGTTGTTATTCTGTCTGCCGCTCGGCATTAAGAGGACAAAACAAGGACTGGTCGGCTCGGAGACAGTATACTGTGTCTGAGAGGGGTATTCATGTTAAACTGCGGCATGGTATCTCAGTTGGCTAGCACTGTAAACTCGGCATTAGTCCGGACTAGTACAAGCAGCAACACACATGCATGCATGCATGCACGTCGCTATTTAACCTTGAACACTACGTTAAACCCCATTACACCTCACCTCACCAATAGACACACCTTAATACTGCGACACACACGTGGCAATACTGCGGGTTTTTTCAAAGAGATACCACATCTCAAGTTCAATATTTGCCATCAAAAGATATTTAGCAAAGGCTCATAAAGAATTCATACTTAAAGACGTATTCTGTTCAGAAAACAATGGATGTTCAAGCATAAACATCTGTAGAGAAATAGTAATTGAATCCAATCTGATTGCATGTTATTTGCGTTCTCTTGTTGCTTCAGAAGTAAATATTTGAAGTGCTTTTAGAAATATTCAATTCATCGAACAACGACACCGAACTTGTTATCGTTTCAGGCATCAACCAAAAGAGCACTTAAAGCGTTGGTATCACCTAATTATATATTCATATTCTTGTTTAAATGAATGTGCACATCTATCAGTCGTAAATATATCTTTTAACATTTCTTATCAGGACAATCAAAACGTGACTCTGTGAAATACCACATTCAGTGCATGGGGCGACGGGTAGCCTTGCGGTTAAGCCGTTAGCTTGTCATGTCGGTTTGATTCCCGGTATACCTGTAGGCGCAAGGATTAAAGCCAATTCCCTGTTTTCAAAACTCTGAAATCGCTAAACGCTACCTAATATAAGCGCGCACTCTTTTGTACCTTTAATTAAGAATAGTTGTTTTGTTTCGTTGCATTGAAGTTAGTATATCGTCCGTTCAAAGGGACGAATAAGCACAAGCTGGCCATGGAGACACACGTGCATGCTAACTATGTTAACACGAATCCTTTGTTCCGACCAAATACACTGAGTATCTGACTATTGCTGAACACCTGGTCGCAAACGTCGTACCGATCCATTACTTCATTGTCCTTGCTTGCTGTATCGAGTGAGAGGGTGGATGTTGTACCGATCCATTACCCCATTGTCCGTGCTTGCTGTATCGAGTGAGAGGGTGGATGTTGTATACAACTATACAGTATATATGTGAACAAACTTACTACTTTTACTTGCATTACTGACGCTCGCTAAGAGGTAATTCGGTGCAACACAATACTTTCAGGATAATTAACTAGCGAAGCAATACGATACGACTATTGCAACAGCACCACTATCTACTATCGTTATGGTTACAACTACAACGGTAATGCCGCTTCGCGTCAAAATAAGTGAACCAAAGACGCCTTTCACAACCGAAACCAATGCAAAATTAATTAATGCAAAACGTTTAATTATCACGTCCAACATAACAATGAACGTCTTTAAGTCTTTTCAATTCCCACTTGTAACATACACGCGTATCTACAGTTACAATGGCGTATGTAACACACATGTGTATCTACAGTTATAATAACGTATGTAACATACACGTGTATCTACAGTTACAATAACGTATGTAACATACATGTGTATCTCCAGTTACAATGACGTATGTAACATACACGTGTATCTACAGTTACAATAACGTAAGTAACATACACGTGTATCTACAGTTACAATGGTGTATGTAACATACACGTGTATCTACAGTTACAATAACGTATGTAACATACATGTGTATCTACAGTTACAATAACGTAAGTAACATACACGTGTATCTACAGTTACTATGGCGTATGTAACATACACGTGTATCTACAGTTACACTAACGTATGTAACATACACATGTATCTACAGTTACAATAACGTATTTGACATACACGTGTATCTACAGTTACAATAACGTATGTAACATACACGTGTATCTACAGTTACAATAACGTATGTAACATACACGTGTATCTAGAGTTACAATAACGTATGTGACATACACGTGTATCTACAGTGACATTAACGTATGTAACATACACGTGTATCTTCAGTTACAATAACGTATGTAACATACACGTGTATCTACAGTTACAAAAACGTATATAACATACATGTGTATCTCCAGCTACAATGACGTATGTAACATACACGTGTATCTACAGTTACAATAACGTATGTAACATACACGTGTATCTACAGTGACAATAACGCATGTAACATACACGTGGATCTACAGTTACAATAACGTATGTAACATACACGTGTATCTACAGTGACAAAAACGTATGTCACATACACGTGTATCTACAGTAACAATGACGTATGTAACACACACGTGTATCTACAGTTACAATGGCGTATGTAACATACACATGTGTATCTACAGTTACAAAAACGTATGTTACATACAAGTGTATCTACAGTTACAATAACGTATGTAACATACACGTGTATCTACAGTTACAATAACGTATGTAACATACACGTGTATCTACAGTTACAATAACGTATGTAACATACACATGTTTCTACAGTTACAATAACGTATGTGACATACATGTGTATCTACAGTGACAATAACACATGTAACATACACGTGTATCTACAGTTACAATAACGTATGTAACATACACATGTGTATCTACAGTGACAAAAACGTATGTCACATACACGTGTATCTACAGTAACAATGACGTATGTAACATACACGTGTATCTACAGTTACAATGGCGTATGTAACACACATGTGTATCTACAGTTACAATAACGTATGTAACATACACGTGTATCTACAGTTACAATGGCGTATGTAACACACATGTGTATCTACAGTTACAATAACGTATGTAACATACAAGTGTATCTACAGTTACAATAACGTATGTAACATACACGTGTATCTACAGTTACAATGACGTATGTAACATACACGTGTATCTACAGTTACAATAACGTATGTAACATACACGTGTATCTACAGTTACAATAACGTATGTAACATACAAGTGTATCTACAGTTACAATGACGTATGTAACATACATGTGTATCTACAGTTACAATAACGTATGTAACATTCACGTGTATCTACAGTTACAATAACGTATGTAACATACACGTGTATCTACAGTTACAATAACGTATGTAACATACACGTGTATCTACAGTTACAATAACGTATGTAACATTCACGTGTATCTACAGTTACGATAACGTATGTAACATACACGTGTATCTACAGTTACAATAACGTATGTAACATACACGTGTATCTACAGTTACAATAACGTATGTAACATACACGTGTATCTACAGTTACAATAACGTATGTAACATTCACGTGTATCTACAGTTACAATGACGTATGTAACATACACGTGTATCTACAGTTACAATAACGTATGTAACATACACGTGTATCTACAGTTACAATAACGTATGTAACATACACGTGTATCTACAGTTACAATAACGTATGTAACATTCACGTGTATCTACAGTTACAATAACGTATGTAACATACATGTGTATCTACAGTTACAATGACGTATGTAACATTCACGTGTCTCTACAGTTACAATGACGTATGTAACATACATGTGTATCTACAGTTACAATGGCGTATGTAACATACATGTGTATCTACAGTTACAATAACGTATGTAACATTCACGTGTATCTACAGTTACAATGACGTGTGTAACACACACGTGTATCTACAGTTACAATGGCGTATGTAACATACATGTGTATCTACAGTTACGATAACGTATGTAACATACACGTGTATCTACAGTTACAATAACGTATGTAACATTCACGTGTATCTACAGTTACGATAACGTATGTAACATACATGTGTATCTACAGTTACAATGACGTATGTCACATACACGTGTATCTACAGTAACAATGACGTATGTAACATACACGTGTATCTACAGTTACAATGGCGTATGTAACACACATGTGTATCTACAGTTACAATAACGTATGTAACATACAAGTGTAACATTCAAGATTGTGAACACAAATGCAGCAAAAAATTACTCTGCTTCAGTGAAGACTTCACATAACAAAGCCTTATCTCTATTGTGTCCGCAATAAATTAGATTTCCCAGGAGAGTCTGGTTAATCTGCATCTTGATGAAAGACAACTGTTTCAAGTAAACATGAAAAGATATTATGCTTTTGTTATGCGAAAAAGTTCATGATTACACCAGAACAACCCAGTTTCTATTATGCGGGTGTATATTCGTCAAGATAAGGTAGGAAGAAAACTATGTAAGTATGTTTCGTTATTTTGAGGTTATTTCCTAAAACAGTTTGTGGTTAATAAAACCAACAATTATTAAACAACACGATATAGTATATTTGAAATCAAACACAATAGTTTCATTTGTTTATATTTCTCACCCTAAGGTAGGCTTGTCGCTGAGAAATAATATGTATTCGTGTGACCTTTAACGCATAATACTGTGATAACATATTGTTTGAACCGTGAATTGTAATATGGCAACGACGTAAAGCCACCAAAATCAACATAATTATATCAAAATTTACATTTAATGAAAAATCATGAAAACCTGAAACCATTCATCATGGCTTCACTCAACAATTTGTCACGGAATAATCCAATACAATCCCACTGGGACAGGCGTGGTAGCTAATTTACGATCAATCGCTAGGCAATACTCCAATTGTTATAAGTCTCTTATATATCTGAGCAAGCAGGTGCGCGAATTGTAGATGTCATGTTCATCGTGGATGCTTTGTGTTGAGCAAGGTACTTAGTGTGGAGTGCTTACCGTTGTTTCCAATACGTGTTAGTTACAGCACCTGAACTTGGCATGACGAGTGTATCTTTTGCTCTGTCTGTCGTGTTTTCTGGGATGTTACAACCTGGTTTGGATTCAAGTTCCGCTTCGTCACAGACAGATTGCATTGTGCAGTGTTTTTACAACGAATATTGTAATTCTGTGTTCTATGATTCTGGGACATTCCTATGCCACTTTGGCAGAGACAATTACGACAGTCCGACGTCTACGATGACCGCGGAAGCGTCTGTGGTGTATGTTATCGTCAAATCTGGAAATTTTAAGGTTGTTGGTAAGTTTGATACAAGATAGATATGGAACATTTGACACAAAACTGAAACATTTATTATGAAGGTACAAACATTCACTAAATATGCACTTGATACTTCTTATGTACAAGAACGCCAACGTCCAGTGGATAGAGCGTCTGTCCGGAGAGCGGAAAATCGGGAGTTCGATCCCCTGTCTAGCCACATCATACCAAAAGACGTTAAAAGGTGGTACTTGTTGTTATCCTGCCTGGTGCTCGGTATTGGTCGGTTAGGATTCAATGTACTGTGTCTGAGTGAGGTATTCATGCTAAACTGCGGCATGGTATCTCAGTAGGATAGTATTTAAAACCGGCATTATCCCGAACAAGTAAAAGCAGCCACACGCACGCACGCACACACACAAACACACACAAACACACACACACACACACACACACACACACACACACACACACACACACACACACACACACGAAAATGCACGTTGCTATATAATCTTGAACGCAACATTGAACCCAATTTCACCTCACCTCATACCGTAGGTAGAAAATACAAATTTTGCTTTTCACATCGAATGATCTATATATGCACTAAATATTATCATCAAATCTTGTTAATGTAAGGATGTTTGAAAGTGGTAAAGATAGAAATGAGACATTTGACCATTAAAAAACTAAAACATTATGGAGGTACAAACATTCCCTGAAGCCTTACTCAATATGAGATAAATCATACAAATAAACTAAGGGGTAAAAGAAAGAATACCAGGCTTGTTTTTTATGCTATTGAAAATTTAAAGAACTACTATTAAATTTGATTTTGTCTATTCAACCATCACTTATTCCTGCAACAGTGTGTAAAAAGTAATCTTGGACTGGGTAGTTGTGTGTAAAATAAATTGGTTCAATGAAGACTGGGGTAAGAAATGGGTGACGTGAAATTCTCCTTCTGGGCGGACGCTCTACCACTAGACCACGGAGGCGGTCCGGGGTGAGAAATGAATTTGCAACCACGTGATCTCTACCCATGTTTGAAATGTGTGCCGAAAAAAGCAAATGTATTGATTTTCAGATAAGATTTCTAAGATAACCATTTGGCATTTGTGTATTATTGTTTTTTTTGGTTCTTTTAAAAAGATTATGGGAATATCACGCCGTCAACGCATGGCCGGTCGATGCAATACTCTTTGTACATAAACAATGTGTACTACGACGCTACAGTGTAATTTGAAATGAAGGTACATAAAAAGTTTGATAAAAACATGTAGACATCAGTTTGTAAAATATTCCTCCTGTTACAATGATGTCATTAAATATTCTTTTTGACAGGAATATTTGATTTTTGATCATCTTGCATTGTGTCTCTTGTCTTGTACAAATCTACATGTATATGTATCATGTATATGTACTTACCTATACCTATGCAGTGGTTTGATAAGTACCACTTTGACACTGGTTTTCACAGTTGAAGTATGTACATGTACTTGGTTAAAACACATACGTGTCTGGAGGGATGTCCTGCTTAGTGCAGCCCCACAGTTAACGTTGATAACACACATGCAGTGCATTTGTCCTACAAAGCTGATTATTTTATAGGCATTTCAATAAACACATATGCTTCCATTCCAATGTTATTTAAATGAAAATCAACTATTAAATAGGTCTTTCTTTGTGAAAACTATAAATGTACAGACACATTTTGCACGAACTGTACAGTGTATTACAATCAGAAAGACGGCGAGTTTAGACAGCTTAATGTGTTATGTACATCAATCGTCGTCAGTGCATCCAAATAGCTTCCTGCACATTTCCATACCCCTTTCACTGTGTACCAACGATCAATGTTGACATACCTGCCTGTATCATGATATGTTGTGCGCATGCAAATGCATCGTTGAAGATGTTCCATATTTTGCCCTGTACCAAGTTTCAACTTTGTAGACCACAATCCCACAAGACAAACTTAAGGCAATATTTCATTCTTGGTCCATGGGGCTTGTATTACAAAGCGTGGAGACCACAGATATATACTGAACAACAAAAGTTCCTGTGACATTGAATAAGATTTAATGCAAAGTTGTTTTTAACCAAATCTGAAACAATTTCGGTTTGCAACAGATAAAGACTCCTGTAAGTGTTCAAATGGTTTAATTTGCCATACTGACTTCAGAAAATGCGTGATTTCATAAAAAACAACATAAACAGGCCAAAATGTCAATTTACAAATCAATAGCGTGTGTGTCCACCTCTGGTTGCCATGCAAGCAACACATCTTCGTCTCATGGAATGGACCAGGCGTCGCACAAAGTCCTGTGGGATATCTGTCTATATCTGCTGGAGCATGTTTCGAAGTTCCTGGAGTGTCTGTGGAACACGTGGTTGACTTCGAAGGCGCCGATCCATCTCATCCCACATGTGCTTGATTGGTGAGAGATCAGGGGAGCGAGCCGGCCAGGGGATGATATTCATGTTTGTTTTGTTGAAGAGAATCCTGAACAAGTCGAGCAATATGAGGCCGGGCGTTGTCTTGTTGAAAAGTAATGCCTGGGCCATGACGACGCAAAAACGGTAGAACAACAGGGTCGATGATCTCGTCGCGGTAGCGCTGTCCATTGAGATTTCCCTCTACCACTTTCAAACGGGTCCTCTGTCTTGCTATAATCCCACTCCATACCATAACGCTGCCGCCCCTGAACCGACCTTCTTCCATGTCACAATGATTGACGTAACGTTCACCTCGACGTCGGTACACTCGAATCCGTCCATCGCTGTGGCTGAGGTGAAAACGAGACTCGTCAGTGAATAGAACTTATCCCCATTGCATGGCCGTTGTCTGCACCACCGTGCTTGACGATGGTTTCCTGTCAAATGGGACGTCTGGCGGGTCTTCTGGCGACAATCCCTGCAAATCTGAGGCGACGACGTACGGTTTGTGAAGATATTCGTCGAAGGCCAGGGATGCTTCTTGCAGTCACTGTTGCTGATTTCGTAGGTGTGTTCTTCGAATCCAGTTGTCTTGTCGATTATTGGTTACGCGTGGCCTGCCACTCCGAGGATGGTCTCTGACTGCATTCGTCTGTTGCCAACGTTCCCATAAACACCAAATGGTGTTTCTGTGGACGTTAAATCTTGCAACATCACGTTGACTCGCTCCTGCTTCGAGCATACTAATGGCTCGCAGATGCTCATTTTCGGACAGGCGTGGCTTTTTGTAATGTTGAATAATTGCGTAATTTTGTTGTTTTTCTGAGTGGTTGTTGTCAGCACGATGCTAAACAATGCATCCCGTTAACGCACATGTTTTTATACCCATTCTTAGGTTGTGAAATGAGGTTCACTCCCAAAACTTCTACATGCCAAAACGTCTACATGCCAAAACATCTACAGAGAGTTGTCATGGCTGATTGAGCTTACCTATTGTTATAATGGTATAGTCTTCTTGTAATTACAAGTTGTCGGGCTGAGAGTAGTTTGAACCTTAAATTGGGTTTACTCAATTTATTGTGGATTAACACTATAGTATATAACTAGAGTCCATCATGATGACAATTTATCACTATGGCTGGTATCAGGAATGTGGAGTATGTCATGTCACAGAAGGGTACTGTGCAGGTATTCCTAGGATGGCTATCGTTATAACAAGAATGTCGTCAGACAGACATGCATTCACTGGAAGTGCGTAGACTCCACTTGTAAGGGTAGATGCACCAGTGTAGGTGACTTCATCAGAAATGTCTCTGATCACACTCATCCACCTGAAGACAGCAGTAGAGTAAGATTCATCAGTACCATGAGGAAGAGGGCCAGAGAGGAAACCACGTCGATGCGTACCCTGTACAACGATGAGGTAGCTACAGAAGACCAGCCACAGCTGCTGCCATCGTTCCCATCCATGAGCAGTGCCTATGTACCGACACAGGCGGAAGAACATCCCAGCACTCCCACAGACAAGAGCTGAAGTCCAACTTGAAGGAAACTGGACTGAAACAACAGACAGCCGCCCATTCCTGCTTTTCACTGATTGAGATGCCAACAAGATTGTTGTATTTTCTACCCATGACCAACTCCAAGCTTTGCAGTCTGCAGACACTGTATACATGGACGAAACATTTACATCTTGCCCAGATCTGTGGAACCAGGTATACATGATACATGCAAGAAGTGGTTCCTGTATGTACCCACTTGTCTTCGCCCTCCTGCTTGACAGACAGACCACAACTTACACCAGACTGTTAAGCCGACTCAAAACAGAAGTCCAACAGAGATTCAACCGTCCCCTCGCTCCTGCCACTGTCCAGACGGATTTTGAGAAGGCTGCCATTCGTGCCGTCAACACAGAGTTCCCGAATGCCGACATCAAAGGTTGTTTTTTTCATTATTGTCAGGCGATCTGGCGGAAGACACAGGATCTTGGATTAGCAGTACAGTACAAGGAAGATCCTGCAGTTCAACAATGGATCAGAAGAGCTGCTGGACTTGCCCTCCTGCCCTTGCTTGATGTCCAGGACACCTGGTTGGATGCTATGCTGGCAACTCCACCAGTTCCGAGAGCTGAAGACTTCAATGACTATATGGTCATCAACTGGGTTGACGATGATGCCCGAATATCTACCGATTTGTAGAAGTGATTAAGAAGATTGAGTGTGCAGACAGGAGAAAAATCGCAGTTAGACTTTGGTGCCGCCCCACCCAGCAGGAAACGAGTTTACAGAGAGACTGAAAATCGCCTGAGACGTCTTAAGGACATGTTGACTCAAGGACAGAAAACCCCTATCGAGTTTCTTGATGCTGTTGGTCATCTTCTCAAACTTGGTTAAGAGACTTGAAATATAGTAATTTTAGTGCTGTATGTGACAGAGTGAGGCCAGTTGTGACATTAAATTAGTGTGTGTACTATTTATTCATACCAGTACTTACATTAAATTAGTAAGTAGTCTAGTGCAAAAAGTGTGTGTACTATTTATTTATACCAGTGCTATATGAGTAAATTGTCTTCATTGTCTTCAAATTGTTTTGTTGTA